ATTGGGGGGAATGTAATCTTCTTATGTCTATTGCAACAATTTTGGATCGTAGACTAAAACTAAAATTTATTAGTTACACATTCTCGAAGATATACGCACATGACAAGGTTGAGCAAAATCTAAAAACAGATCAAGAGGCCTTGTGGGAAATATATGCAGATTATGTTGTTGAGTGCTAATAGGGAGTGAAGGTTGTGATGGTTACAAAGATTCTACATTAGTATGGATTCTGTTTAGCAGCTAGGAAGCTATTTGGTGTCTTAATTTATGCTTTATTGGCATCATTACAGACTTACAGTTGTGATACTGGCAGTGGGAATGGTTGATACTGGCAGTTTTTCAATTAGTTTTTCAGTTTTTCAATTTATGCTTTTCCATTCCTTTCAGTGGATTTATGGTTCTTAATTTCTACTGCACAAATTCTTTTTTCCGTATACAATCATTTAGGATTTCATGTGGCTTTTTTCCGTATACAATCCATTCCTTTCAGAGTTTCAGTGGGAATGGATGGGATGGTATGTGGCTTTTTTGACAGCCCTACTTATCTCCTCCTTTTTGACAGCCCTATTTATAATATCTTCAGCATTTAGGATTTCATTCTCAATGGGTCTTGGATAATTAGAACAAATGAGACATTTGCTGGTATGTGGCTGTTTGGATGGGATACTGGCAGTGGGAATGGTTAATTTCTACTGCAGCTTCGGAAGTCCCTTAATTAGTTCTGCTATGGCAATGGGAATGGATGGAAGGCCTCTACTTGTTAGATGGCAACCCCATACTCATACACATGGTAGGGCAATAGGAAAGCCTGAGATTAATGGCTGTTCAGTTTTTCAATTTTTCAGTTTATGGTGACCTCTAGATTTCAGTCTTTGCTTTGGCAGTGGGAATGGTTGATCCTTTCAGATTTTTCATTCCTTTCATTCCTTTCAGTGCTATTGCTGAGATTAATGGCAACCTGCTGAGATTCATTCCTTTCGTTCCTTTCAGTGCTGTTACATTAAGATCAACTTTTTCATTCCTTTCAGTGCTATGGCAACCCCATAACAATTATTGTTGCCTAATCAGAAACGGGATTATTATGCTTCTTCTTTGGCTTGTATTCTTTTTATTTTAGAAGCTTGAGATTTGAATGAGTTTTTGGT